GAAATTATGAAACTGGGCACTGGTGGCTCACGGCTATAATCCCAGTTACCCAGGAGGCTGAGATCTAAGGATCACAGTTTGAAGCTAGCCTGGGCAGAAAAGTCGGTGACCCTGTTATCTCTAATCAACCAGCACAAAGCTGGAAATGGAGGAGTGGCTCAAGGGGTAGAACGCCAGCCTTGAGCAGAGACAGCTAGGAGACAGCGCCCTGGCCCTGAGTTCAGGCCCGAGTATTAGCATACACACACAAAAAATCACATTCATCTTTATTTTGCTGTAGGCAATTATTTGCCTCTGTGTGTGTGTGTGTGTGTGTGTGTGTGTGTGTGTGTGTGTGTGTGTGTAGAACAATAATTATTACTCTCATTACTCTTAGCCTCTTACTCATTAGCTGATCAATGGCACAATCTGATTTCATCTGAGGTAGGCTAAGTTCCCAGTGACTTAATCCTTTCAAACTGACAAACTACCAGCCATATCTGAGAGGCCACCACCCTCTCTGCAGTGGCTGGGGGACGGTCCCAGGCCGGAGAGTTCTGCATGGCGAATTAGGTTGCTACGAAAACCAGACCACACTGTCTCCACAACTAAAGTCCAGGAGAATGAAAGCTCCATGGTCCCCAGCCTGGGAGGCCTGCCTGGGGAGAGGACGCCGCTCCGCGACCCCCGGGAAGGCTGGCGCAAACCCGGAGCGCCAGGAAGGGCCAGCGCCACCGGCAGGACGGCTCCGTCACCGACACGACCGCGGACCGCGCAGCTGTCCCTTTCCCCAAAATATTCCCCAGATGACAGACTGCAATGGCACTTTCTGGAAATAGCTTTGCGTTCTTAAAAGAAGCCGAGCTCAGCTAGAACTCCCTCATAGTAAATACTTACAACGCAATGTCCGTTTCGCCTCTAAAAAGTGCTTCCCGGGCTTTGAGGGGCTCTTTGGAATGGAGTTCCTTTCCATGCCCCCCTTTTTTGGAGCTGACAGAACTACAGAAATATGTATTTATATCTCCCCAAGTCTAGACGTCCCGGGCTGAGGCTATTTCAAGCCTGCGTTTGGTGTTTTTAACCCGGGACACATTCCTGCTTTTCATCTCTGTCATCTTTCCCCCGCTCCGCAGGAGGCCCAGCTCATCTGGATGATATTTCTGGACTGATAAATGGACTCCTAAATGTGGCTGGGAAAGGAAGTCGGAGAGGGGCATAGCTGTGGACTCTCTCTTACCGACAGGGAACTGAACAGAGGTCCGATAACCCTTAGCCACACAGGGCGTTTCTGCGTACTCAGGGGAACCGCTCTGGGCTGCCGTTTGCAGCCAGCCCCGCAGTTCCGTCACAGACACGGCAGGAGAGAGAGGGTTCAAACAGGAGCCATCGCACCCCCTGGCCTCTAGTTCTAGCCAGAGGCCCCGAATGTGGGTAAATGGGAAAGACCCTCGCCATGCAGACGGGACGCTGAGGCGCGTCCAGGGCTGTCTCCTGCACGTTCTGTGTCACCCCACATTCTGTGGTTCCCATCCTCTTCCACTGCCGGTGCTCGACGAGAAACGACAGAAACCAGGAAGAACTTTCTCCCCGGCCCAGGTAATAGAAGTCAATCCAGATGCTCTACATCTGTCCCCAGGCACCATGCCCTCCTGGCCCCGGAGAGACAGACTCAAAGCACGTAGCGCACCGTGGGTGCTGGCACGCCTGACTCTTGTGCAGCCACCAAGAATCTGTTCCAGGGTTGGATCTGCTCCATTCTCCATTCCTTCCGCAGAAAACTCAAATTCCACCCAAGAAAAAGCCCAATCCTGCCATCATCCATCGAGGCCCCCATGGGAAGCCCCCGTCCACACCAGCCCCACCCCCGCCCCAGCACCAGCTCTGCCAGGAACCCTGGGATCCCAGCACTAGATGATGGGGGACACTCTCGGGCCATCAGAGCCAGTCACTGATTCTGGGGACAACCAGACACCTTGCAGGGCTTTCCAGTGTTTCCTCTCCACTCTATCCAACTGTCCCAAAGACAAAACAGAGAGAAATCCACAGGGCCTTGACCACAAGTGAGCATGGCGAAGCCATCACAGGCTAGCACGATATATGAGAAATGCACTCTGAAATTAGCACCTGCGGGAGCGTAATGTTTCACTGGGGGAAAAACAACTGGAAGAGGAGCTGTAGCTCAAAGTGGTAGAGCACTAGCGTTGAGCAAAAGAGCTCAGGGGCCGCATTCAGGGCCTGAGCTCAAGCCCCACAACAACAACTCTCAAATTCTAGCAATCATAAACCTAACTCTTGTCTAATGAATGTCAACCTTCATACTTTCTCTAAACAATGGGTGTACTTTTTAAACCTTCCATCTTATGCTATTCTAAACATTTAAATCATTCTTTTCACTACAATATTAATGGAAAGTTTTAAAAAATAGGCCAAAAAGATTCTTTACTCAATGTTCCAAAATAAATTAGTGGTGGAAGAAGAACATAAACCAGTTCTACTGTACATAGATTTCCTGAGTACTCTAGTCTGCCTTTGACTTTGTGATGCTTGCTTACCTGAAATGTGTTTCAAACCACCTAGAAGAATCTAGTGTTCTATTTGAGAAAATATTCCCAGATCCGTTAAGCATCTTAAGTGAATTGCAAAGATGAATTTTGCTAATTACCCCCACAAAAACATGTCTTTATCTTCCAGACTCTTAACTCTCCAAGGCAAATTACACGTTAGAGTCACAATGACATCCCTTGTTCTAATGAAGCTTAACTCCTTCAGTGCCCAAGGGCTGCATCAGTCCACAGTTTGCTCATAAATCCTGCCCAGAGAAGGAAGGCCTTGTCTCTCAAGTTACCACCCACCACACAGGGCATACCAGAGAATGTGGCAATTGTTTGGTTAAACTGTTGCAAACCTTATAAGTATAATGGAAGCTCTAGCTAATTAGAGTATAAATGCTTAAAATATATACTCCTAAAACCATTATCCCAAAGACACGCTGAACATTAGCCTTTAAAACCTTCATATCACATTATCGACAGCAAGCTAACCCAAGGCATCTCTAGTCCTGGCAAAATCCCACACACTATTTTGTACCTAATGTAATAGTTCACAGAGAAAACTCAGGCAACTATGGTTCTGGTGACAGCCACATGTGTGCCTAGCATGATTCCTGGAACTGTGTCTTTATCTGTCGCTGACACGGCTGTCTTCCACCATCACCTTGCTGGGGCAATAAGGTCAGTCTCCCCAGACTGCTTTCCCCCCATCTCATAAACAGGTTGATTTGCCTCTGACAACACTGGATTCTCCACAAAAACAAAAATCCAGTCATCACATGGCCCCTCAGTCAGGATGGTGCATCTGAGTTTCAACTGCTGTTTCTTCTTCCCGTAGCTCTTGCATCTTCATGAAAAGAATCTGTTTTGATTTACTTCTGCATGTGAGGCGCACTCAAGCAGCTATACAAAGAACCTTCTATTATAAGAACGGGTCCTCAGGAATGTTCTAAAATAATTTGGTAGTCTGCAACCTATTACAACTGCCAAATCCCAGATGGTATCGCATCTTTAAGATCTAAAGTCCCCCAAATGCCTATCAGATGGCCCAGCCTTGGTGCACAGGACTGCAGCCTCCCTCGGCCCAGCTCAGCGCCTCCAGCCCCGAGCCGTGAGTGAACTAGAACCTGCCCGTCCATTCTGTGGTTCATGTCTGCAGGTCCCCAGGGGTAGATACCACCCGGGGCAGGGCTGACTTGGTATTTGCTGTTATGTCCATTGCTAGACTAGTACAGTGCCTCCAATGGGGCAGGGATGCATGAGCAAGAGGGCAGAGAAATCTGTGCACAGGGCAAGGTGTTCCATGGGAGGGTGCAGCACACACGCACGCGTGATCCTGAGATGGATTCTCAGGCCGCCCTGGCAGATTCATCATCCAACTACAAACATGCCAAACTGACCACAATCCATGCACTAACGCTTCTTAAAAAACCACTCGTCCTGGGGTACACTGTGCGTGTGACCGCAGTCCGTGGGTGTGTGTCTGGTTGAGCCTGGGTGTGTGAAAACATCACGGTGTATGAAAACACGCCAGTGTTTGCAGGCGCTGATGACACAAGCAGATGCAGCCATCCCTGACCCCGAGTCCCAGCAGTGTGAACCGCAGGACACCGCTGAGGGTGTCCGAGCGAGTTCTTGATGTTCCTCTGAAATCAGTGATAAACGTAATCAATAAAGAAAAAGAACCCTCTGTGGCATGGGGGTGCAAATGCCATACTCCATGCAAACACGGTCGTGTTTGGTTGCCCTCTGGGGCTGCAGTGGACGCCCATGCGTTGTCACCCAGGAGCTCCTGGGGTCCCGGACGGCCACTCAGAGGGGAGCCCCCCCCCCAGTAGTTAGACTCTATCAGCCACGGGAAGGCTTGCAAGGAGCAACCACGGCCCCTGCAGAGTGCGCCCTGTCGGGGTCGCAGGGGAGGGGGATGGGCACTAGCTGGCCAGCAGCCCGTGGACCAGGAGGGGACAGCAGGACGCGCCACCTGGGAGCAGCCCAGCCCTGGAGGCTGGGGCTGCAGATGCATCCTGCCAGGGTGAGGCAGGAGCCAGGGGAGAGGGTCGAAGGGGGGGAGAGGAAGATGGGGGACGGGGGACAAGGTCCAGGGTCCAGGATCCAGGTTCACCCTGGACCCAGGTTCACAGGAGGTCGGGAAGCCGGGTGACGGGAAACAGGGACAGGAGGTAGGGGGCAGGGGGTGGGGGCCGGGGACAGGGCTGGGGGACAGAGACAGAGGGTCAGGACACAGGGCTGGGGGTCCTGGGGCCAAGGACAGGGAGTGGAGGAAGGGGGCGGGGCCGGGGGCAGAGGCAGGGGATTGGGACACAGGGCGGGGAGGGAGGGGGGAGGCTGGGAGGCAGGGACACGGGGAGGGGGGGCAGGGACACCGGGCCGGGGGTGCTGGGGTCGGGGGACAGTGACAGGGGGTCGAGGCGCAGGTCCGGGGTCGGGGGGTCCCGGGGCCGGGCGGCTCACCTTGCCCGGGAAGGGCCCGGGGAGCAGCAGCCTCAGCGCCTGCCTCTTCAGCTCCTCCAGCCGCGCGTTGCAGTTCTCGCACCAGACGCCGCGGTCGGAGCCCGGGGAGGAGCCGCCGCCGCTGCCCGAGCCCGGGGAGCCGGTGCCGAAGCCCGGCGAGCCGCCCAGGGAGCCCGGCGAGCTGGTGCCGATGCCCGGGGAGGCGGGGCCCGGGGAGCCGGCGAAGGAGCTGGGGGACGAGGTGCCGGAGCCGGGGGACGGCGTCCCGGACGAGCCGAGCGCCGAGCCCGCGCCCTCGGGGGCCGGCCGCGCCCCCGCGCGCTCCTCGTAGGCCCGGCGGTACCAGCTCTCGGGCGAGAAGGGCGCGGCGGGCTTGGGGGGCGAGCAGACCTCGGCCACCTGCGGGGAGACAGCGGCGGGGTCGGGCGGGGCCTGGGGCCCGCGCCCCGCCCCGGTCCTCCGGTCCCCCACCCCCGCCCCGGTGCCCCGGCCCGGTCCCCGGTCCGCCTCGGGCTCCGCGGGGCGCGCGGTCCTGACAGCCGGGGCGGCCCCGCCTTTTGGGGCGCAGCGCTCCCCGCAGGCCCCCGGGGACCGCACCGGGGCTCGGCCGGGATTCAGGGCACCCCCCGCCCCCCGCGGGCCGAACTCCGCCTGGAAGTCGGCGACGCCGCCCAAGTTCGGGCGGGCGAGGGAGGGCGGCGGGGCGGGCAGAGCCCGGAGCCGGGAGCCGCAGCCGCCCGCGCCGCCCGCGCCGTCCGCACCGCCCCGCACCGCCCCGCACCGCCCGCCAGGCGCCTCCGCCGCGGGGAGGTCGCGGGGCGCCCGGCCCGGCCGCGGGTCCCGGGGAAGCGGGGAGCCGGGCGGAGGATCCGGGCCGCGTCCCCGCGCCGCGCCCGCCACAACTCACCCCGCATTTCTTGCCCCTGCCGGGGACCGCCAGCCGCTCTTTATTCCCGGCCACCGAATGCATGGTGGCCGCTTCCCGGAGCGGAGCCTGGAGCCGAGCCGAGCGCGCTACGCCCGCCACCGCGGCCTCGGCACGCGCGCCCGGCGCGGGCGCCGGCGGGGCCGGGCCTCGAGACGCGGCCTCCCGGTCGGGGCGGAGGACGGAGGCGCGCGGGGACCGCACGGGCTGCGGGAGGGCTGGGCGCGCCCGCCGGGCTCGGCCTCCGCCGCCGCCGCCGCCCCGGCCTCGGCCCCGGCCCCGGCCGCCGCGCGGTCCGCTCCGCTCGCGCCGGCGCGGGGCGCGATGGCGGGCCGGGCGCGGACGCGGGAACTTGCCGCCGCGCCGAGCCTGCGAACTGAGTTCGCGGAGATCCCCAAAATATAAAGACCCGGGCTGGGAGGAGCCTCGCGCGCCGCCGAGCCAATATGCGCCCGCCGGCCGCGCGAGGGCCGAGCGGGGGGCGGCCCTGCCCGGCCCGGCCGGGGCGTCCGCCGAGCCCGGGAGCCGCCGCCCGCCGCCCGCCGCCCGCCGGCCGGGGCGCAGGCTACGGCGCGGCGCTCCGGCCCGAGCTGGCGCGGCGGCGCGTGGCGGGGGCGGGGTCGGCGGCGGGCGGCGGGGTTCCCGGCGCGGGGCCCGCGTCCGGGGCTGCGGGGCAGCGCCGCGGGCGAGCGCGAGCCCGGGCGGCGCGGGCGGGCGTGGCGTGGCCGGGATGGCGCGCGGCGCCCCGCCCCCGGCCGCTTCCACTCCCGCCGAGGCCCGCGGGTCCGCCCCACGCGCCGGTGCGGGGATCCGTCACCGGCGAGTCCGCGCGCGGACCGGGGCCTCCCCGCCCCCTTTGTTCTCGCAGCCCTGCCCCGCAAGCCCCAGGGGCGCGGGCCGAGCCTCCTCCCCGCCCCGCCGCCGCCCCGGGGTGCGGAGCGGCCCCGCGCCCCCGGCCGGCACCGGCGAGCCCGAGCCCCGCGGGCCCGGGAGGTGCGGCGCCCGCCGCCGGCCTCGGCCTCCCGCGCTGCCGTCCCCGCGGGGTCCCCGAGCCCCCGCCCCGCCGCCCCGGGGCGCACGAAGCCGGCGTCCGCCGCTCCGCACGTGGCTGCCCCGGGAGTCGTTCTCATTTCCCGGAGGACGGTGCTCCCGCGGTCCACCGTGGCCTTTAATTAACACCCGCGCCGTGCCGCCGGGACCGGCCTGGCGGGGGCCACGTGCGGGGTCCCGGGGGATTGGCCCGGGTGGGGGCCACGTGCGGGGTCCCGGGGGATTGGCCTGGCGGGGGCCACGTGCGGGGTCCCGGGCACCGGCCTGGCGGGGGCCACGTGCAGGGTCCCGGGGGATTGGCCCGGGTGGGGGTCACGGGCGGGGTCCCGGGGGATTGGCCCGGGTGGGGGTCACGGGCGGGGTCCCGGGGGATTGGCCCGGGTGGGGGTCACGGGCGGGGTTCCGGGGGATTGGCCCGGGTGGGGGTCACGGGCGGGGTCCCGGGGGATTGGCCCGGGTGGGGGTCACGGGCGGGGTCCCGGGACCAGCCTGGCGGGGGTCACGGGCGGGGTCCCGGGGGATTGGCCCGGGTGGGGGTCCCGGGGGATTGGCCTGGGTAGGGGTCACGGGCGGGGTCCCGGGGGATTGGCCTGGGTAGGGGTCACGGGCGGGGTCCCGGGGGATTGGCCCGGGTAGGGGTCACGGGCGGGGTCCCGGGGGATTGGCCCGGGTGGGGGTCACGGGCGGGGTCCCGGGGGATTGGCCCGGGTGGGGGTCACGGGCGGGGTCCCGGGGGATTGGCCCGGATGGGGGTCACAGGCGGGGTCCCGGGCACCGGCCTGGGCGGGTTGCGGGGCTCCGCTCGGCGCTCCCGAGCTGCAAGACCGCCCCGGGCCGCGCCCACCCACATCCCGAGCCGCCTCGCGGCCTGCGGGGTTGTCACGGCCTCGAGGCGAGCGGAGGGTCGGGACGGAGGCGTGTGCGGCCCGCGGCGGCCCCGCGCCCACGTGGACGCCATCGCCCCGAGGACCCGGGCGGCGGGGACCGGCGCGGGAGGCCTGGCCCGGCCGCCGGGCCGGGGCGCGTTTTCTGCGGGCTCGCGGCGCCCTCTGGCGGCCGCGCCGGGCGGGGCGGCCTCCCAGCCGTCCGCGGGAGATGCGCCGGTTCCAAGGGGGGCAAGGGGTCCCCGCGTTCACCCACCCGCCGCCCCGCCGGGAAGCCCCCCGGCCCCCGTTAACACCGCGGACGGACGGACGGACGGACGGGGGCTTCTGGCGGGACCCTGCGCGTGTGGTCCGCACCGGGCTGGTTTCCCCCTCGCTCCCTGCTCTGGCGGGCCGGACACTCGGGTGTCCCGAGTGGTGACCATTATGCTGTGTCTCATGTGAACCTGCAGCACACGGCGTCACTCCACGCATCTCCAGTCGCAGGCCGGACGCCGACGGACCTGATCCTTAACCCCAGGCGAAGCCCCTGGATCTTCCGGCAGCTGTGCCAAACCCCTTGGACGCAGGTCAGACTCCCAGGCCTGGGCCTGCGGCCCGCAGCAGGCAAGGTCTCCTCCGGCGGCTCCGCTGCTTCGGGGCTCGCAGCCCTGCGCATCTGCAGTGGAAAGGGACCAGCCAGCCTGGCGTGGCCGGTGCCCGTCACCCCCGCAGCTCAGGAGGCCGGCTTCGGGGGTCACCACTTGGAGGCAGCCTGGGGAGGTCGGGGAAACTCAAAAGCTGGGCACTGAGCTGTGTCTCAAGGGGTAGCTGCCAGCCTGGAGCTGAAAAGGCTAGACGACGTGGCCAGGCCTTGAGTTCAAGCCCCAAGACTGGCACAGAAATAAAGTACCAGCCAAAGATTTGAAGGAAGCTTCGTGCCGACATCAGGACGGCTACAGGATTTTCTTCCTCCCAGGTCCTGAGCCTCAGCAAGTGCGGCTCCACACAGGCGTAGACTGACCCTCCCTGCAAGGCCGGAGCCCCTGCCGTCTGCCTGCCACTGACAGCTCTTCCCCCTTACAAAGCCTTTGCTCTGCTGTCCCGTGGATGAGTTTCCCCGAAGCTGGTCCTGGGAGCAGAGGAGGGTAGACAAATGAAGAGAAGAAGAGGAAGAGAGCACAGCCAGAATATTCCACGTGTGCTAGGAAGCTAGGAACCGGTCGGGGGAGGCTGGGAGGGACTGGCATTGAACTGTAACCCTCGTGGACAACTACTTAAAAGACAAGAATATTTCTTAAAGTTTTTTTTAAAAACTTCAGTTTTGTATGAAGGTACTCCCCAATTCTGTTTTTTACTGTTTTGCTTTTCCAAGTCTACCTTGGGCTTTTAGAAGTCGTTTTTCTTTCGGTGCTAAGATGGAACCCTAGGTCTTACATGTGCAAGGTAAACACTCTAGCACTGAGCTATAAGCTCTCTACCATTAACTGTACTCCCAAGGAAAGCTTTTAGAATTCTTACGGTGTCAAGGCTTTTTTTTTGTAGGGTGAAGAGACTGCTCGTGATTTTATTTTCTACTAAACTGAAAAATTCCACTGTCTCAACCGAATGCTTCATAGAGCGGTGGACTAGACATAAACATGCATACCCTTCTCCCTTCACACTCACAGAACTTTAAGATTTAGGTTAAAAATACTCATGAATGAAAAAAAATCATATACTGACACTGAGCATGGCAGATCAAGTCTGTAATCCTAGCTACAGAGATCACGGTTCCAGGCCAGCCCAAAGCAAAAAAGTTCATAAAACCCCATTTCACCCAGTGTCTGGGCACAGTAGCGCACACCCTATCTCCCTAATGACACAAGGAACACAGAAAAGCAATGCCACAGTCCTGACCAGGTAAGGCATAGTGAGCACCTACCTTAAAAATAACCAGTGCAAGCCAGGCGCCGGCGACTCACACCTGTAATACTAGCTACTCAGGAGGCTGAGATCTGAGGATCATGCTTTTCAAATCCAGCTTGGACAGAAAAGCTTGTAAGACTCTTAACTCCAATAAGCCCAAAAGTGACGCTGTGGCTCAGGTGGTAGAGCACTCACCTTGAGCTGAAGCTGAGGGACAGTGCCCAGGCCCAGAGTTCAAGCCCCACGACCTACAAATAAATAAATAAATAACCAGTGCAAAGAGGCAGCTCAGGCGATGAGTGCCTGCCTAGCAATCATGAGGCTCTAAGTTCAAACCCTGGCAAGAGAAGTGTGTGTATGTGTGTGTGTGTGTGTGTGTGTGAACTTTTAAAGACCCAGTTCTTCTATGAACACAAATTTTTGGTTCCATAGATACCCTGGGTAAAACAGTGTCTCTTCAGTCCATCCATGAGCACCAAGGTCTATGGTCTGTCGTCTAAACACAATGAAATCTTAGCAGGAGCCAGAGGCATATGGCTCCTCTGGGGAGGTTGACAGGAGTAGCATCCTGGTTTAAGGAAAAGTGAGTGAGGCCCTAGCTAAAAGCCCAGCTCCACATGGCGGTGCCCAGCCTCCACGCCCAGCTGCTGAGGAGGCGAAGAGAAGAGGACCACCAGGCTGGCCCAGGCAAACGCACAAGACCTTACCTGAAAAGATGGGGCATGGCTCAAGTGGGAGAGGGCCCTGGCCTGGCCAGCACCAGGCCTCGAGTTCAAACCCCAGTGCTGAAAAACAAAAGAAAAGAAAGAGAAGAAAGAACGAGGAATTAACTCCCATTTTCTTCACAGGGAACAGGAAATATTTCTCTCGTCTCGGTTTCTCCACTTGTCCTATTATACGAAAATAAATCCTTGCTGAAACTTTTAAAAAATGAGAGTCTTAATCCTTATTCCTTGCTGCTTAATTATTAAATGGATCCAATTTTTTTGGGAATGTTTCATGGGCCTTTTATATTTTCAGAGAATGCAATTTTCCCTTCTCATCAGAGATGAATAGCTCATAAATCTCACAGCTAAAATATACTATGTCATTGAGTCTTAGAAAGCCTGAAAGTATAAATCAGAAACAAAAATCCCAACTCAGGCTGGCAACTTCTAATTGCCGAGCAGAACACAGACTGTAACAGATTCCATTTCTCTTTGATATCTTTCTTGTGAATGCATCTCCATATCAGTC